TTCTAATTTCATTCTTAACTAATTTATCTGATCAGCTGACTGAATCAACCTCTCTGCAATATCCCCTTATCTATTAAATAAACCAATTGCTCAAGATAATTTAAAGTCTCTTCTAATGCTGCCTTTTATGTTTCTTTTAGCTTTACTGTTCAGAGAGATTGTATCAATTCATCCAGCATATCCTGTTGCCCTTTTAAATTGACCAGTTTACTACTTTACCAAACAATCCTAGTAGGAGTAGTTTGCTCATCAGCCACTCCCTTGCCAGGGCTGAGGGAAGCTTGTGTTTTAGGGCCATCTGCTACCTTTTCAATCTAGATGTGTGATTCGTCCGACCTAAGGTTGCCTTGTTCCCTTTGACACCTAGAAAATAATGCCCAGGAAGCATTGTAAGTCTTTGAGTCTGTAATACATACTGAAAGCCAGCCAAGTTAAAGAGTACGACTGATCTGGTGGGATTTGTTATAGTGATATGCTGGGAAGATACCACAAAGAGAATGGGGCTGAGGAAGACCCAGCACTAAACCATGTTTCCAATTAAAAGAAGTGTGAGGCCAAGGAGAACGGCCCTCCTGGTGGAGCTCTCCACCACCTGATGAGATAATTAAATGTCATGCAGCAAAAAGTAAATGTTTACGCCAATCCAGGTGCTTGGGCTACACAGAACTCGATTAGGCATGAGTAAGTGGTTTAATTGGCTCACCTTTCTTCAGCTGTTAATGTGCTCCTTATAAGTGCCTGTCAGAAAACAATCTTTTGTGATTCCCTGCTAACAGCTGGTTCAAGGAAACAAACTCAAAATATTAAGTAAGGATCTTTAGATTCCTACTTTCTTCAAATTCTTATGAAAACAATAGTAGAGAGCACAGCTAATGCATGCTCCTCTGCCTGGATAGTTTGTCACAATTAACGGGACCATATTTTGTATTTGTGCTCTAGATAGGGTTTGTTTTATCTCTTGAAAACAGAATTCTAGCTAGACACCATGGACTTAATGTAATCTGTGGAACCAGCCAACAGAATACCTCTAACAGAGATCTATAATAATATGAGGCTATCTCCCACAAATTTCTTATTCATAAAAGATCGTGAGGTCAGCATGACACGTTAGCAACAAGTGACTTAGGGTTTCTTTTCATTGGTTTTATTGCTGTTGGTTTTACTTTCTCAGCATATTTTTCAAACATGTGCTTATTAATTCATCTGCTAGAAATGTTTGGATAGAAAAATATAATAACATCTCATAAATGTTCTTCATCAATATATGATAAAAGCTCACCCCCCTGGCTTCCCTTTTCTTTCTTCATCTGATTCTTTACTTCTGTAGTTACCTAGGAGATAGGTTGCTTGACTTGGAGAGTCATAGTTAACTCAGAAATTGTCATAGCTAGTGACCCCCAGCATTCATATTATGAACATGGCATGAAGAATGCAGAAGCACAGCTTTTAATTATAATAAAAATGAATTCATATTTTTATGTATTCAAGTGCCACATAGTTAAGTGTAGTGTGCTCATCCCAATTATTAACTTTATTCTCTGAGAATTTTTGAAATTCATTTTCTAGTGAAATATTTCCCCAAAATATGACAGAAGGTGATTTTAATCACTGTGCACCTTGAAAAAAATGGTCTAATAAGTTTCAAAAACTCTGCCTACTCTTTCCCTTGAAAAGCAGCATTGGCATTAGCAGATTTAGCACTAAGAAATCTTACGGTGCAGAAACTTACTTACTTTTACCCCAGTCACATTACCTGTCAAAGTTATCTGACCCTGTCCACTCAAATCCCTCTTTTAATCTTGTTACCTCCTATCATCTTAAGTCAGCTTTCCTTGCCAAGCAATTGGGAAATGGACTCTAGGTGTATGATTCGTATGAAATATCTATAGTTATTATTTTACTAAGCATTTGCCACATCCCAGGAAGTGTTACAGGTACTGTGGGTGTTGTGATAGCTGGGTCTGTAGTAAGGTGCTTTAACAAAGGCTGAAAATCTGACTGCTTCACGTAGACTATTTTGCACAGAAAAGCCTAAAATGGAAGATGGTGTAGGGAGTGGGCACAGCAGTCTGTGACTTTCTATGGTATCGCTTTACTGTCCTTCTATGTGTGCCCTTCTTGGTAGCACTGACATTAGCTCATCGTGCCTCGTTCATGTTCCTCCCCTCAGAAAAGGGACATCTGAGATAACGGGGAAAATAGAGAGTAAACAGCTTACCCGTGAGGATATGGCCTGCACTGTGTTCATATCTCCTTGTCCATAATTTCCTGACATGGCCACTCAGTTTACAAGGAGGGCTGGGAATATGCAGTCTCCATCCAGGGAGCCCTGTGCATGCCAAACCTAGGGTGGTCTCTCGTTTAAAGGGAAGAAGGAACAAATGCATATTATCAGGCAATCACTCTCTGCTATAGTTGTACCTCATTAAGTCCTATGGTCAACCCCATGAAACAGCTTCTCCGTGTTCAATCACTAATGAGAAAACTAACATATTGAAAGGGTCAAACTAATGCCGCACAGAAATCAGTGACTTAGGCTTTGATACTACACTACTTAATTCCATAGCTTGGATTCTGAACTACTATACAGAGCTGCAGTGTTTTTACATAACAAATCTCTACTCATTTCCACCAATCTTAGACCTACTCTTTTCAAATTTTCTAAGTCAATGTGGGAGAGGCTCTACTTTCATTACCCAGACCATGTCCTACTTTCTTTCAGAGCTGATGTCTAAAACATATTTCGCAAGCTCACTCATGTATGACCATATGCCTGAAATGTAGCTGAAGAAATACAAGCAGATCTGATGTGTCACTACCTCTGCAGAGGCCCATGTAGTTCTCTCTTTCTCCTCTTGCTAGCTGTGTTGGAAGTGACACCAGCACGAATGCAAAGCCATGTATCCACGGTGGCTAAGCCTTGTGTAGCTTGCGTTTTTTAAAATTATATGAAAGAAAGCTACTCCAGTTTATGTCTTCCCCTCTCAGACTGGTATGTCTGTTGTGTTGGATGCATTTTAAAGGTCTTTCTCCATTTGTTCTGGCTATTGGCCTACATTGAATAATATCATCCACTGTCATGATGTGATGACTGACAAGTTGACAGCCTGGCTTACAATCACTTACCTGCTGTTTTTTAGGAATAGGAACTTTGGAACTTTGCTGAATTTCTCTGAGCTTTGGTTTTCTCCAGGTAAAACACTATTCAGTCATAGAGTCATCGTAAGAAGTAGTCACTAAAAGTCCTTCTTATTATTCTATCCTAGCATTGAATTTGTGCTTATTCTAGTTGCTCCAGTTTAAAATATAAATGTCTTTGTGAAAAGAAATAGTTAGATGAATGAAAATCACTTTGGAATCAGTCAACAACCTCAATTAAAATACCTGAAATTTAAATTCAGGATCAGTGACTTTGGAATAAAATAAAAAGAATTCCTTTTGATGTGTTAGCAGTCATTAAATTTCTGAAAGTTTGTGAAGTCTCCTTGTACACTGGTGATTTCCCTCAGTTAGATTTTCATGTGGAGTACTGTAAGTTATTTTTGCTGATCTATGATTGCCTTTAAGTGTTATAACTAAGGAGTAGTAACTCGGCATTTGGGAGAGGGTAGATATGTTGTGATTGTAATTTTGAGTTGCAGCTCTTTCTTTCAATAAGCCCCTGGGTTTGGGGTGGCTCATGAGGAGAAAGTTGGCCCATTGCTTTATTAGCAGACATAGAGAACAAATATTGATTCCCTTGCTGCCTAAGTAGGCAGATGATGGTCATGAAGTATCCACCCCAAAAGAGAACAAGGCTAATTAGGTTGAGGGATAGAAAAGTTGTACGTTATTTAATTGTCTGTGGCAGTGTGCCTCTGAATGTTTCTTCTTGGGTAAAAAACATGACATAAACTCTGTAAGAACAGAATTTCATTTGGAAGGCACCTTGGCAAACTACCTTCAGGCTCCACGCCCACTGGACTTGCTTCCAATTTACTTATAGATGGAAAGATTCCAGAGTTCCCTTGCTCTTTGTTTTATAGAAAAGATTCAATAGCTACAAATTATACTAACTACTCACACTTTGGTTTAAGAGCATATTAGTTTGTGCATGGTCTTTTTAATAGGAGGGCAAAAACCACTGGGAAATGGCAAGTAAAATAATGATTCTAGCTAAGTTTGTGTGGTTGTGTACCCACGTGGAACCATGTCTGTAGGAAGCTAACGCGTTTTGAATGGGCACAGTAACAATCTCCCTCACAACCAGTGCCCGACAAACACTGGGCTTTAAGGGTTGATTTGTCATCAGGTGCTCCCTTTCAGACTCCACATTCAGTGGTAATTTGACTGGGAAGGTTTTTGTGTGTTTTTAACCTTACCTTTGTAAGGCAAATCACAAAACCTTGATTTACTGCTGTGTTCCAGTTCATCTTCTAATACGTTTAGTGTCATTCTCAAGTCCCTATTTCACTTAACCTTTGTGTCAGAAAATCATTCTGGACACTACTGTGCCACGTTTCTGTTTTATTAAGGCAGAAAAAAATGGACTAATTTAATTCTTTAATTTTGCATACAAATTCTAGATCCCTGTAGCCTACCTTTGAGTCCCTGGCAGTGGACTCAGGTTAAGAATCTCTGGCTTAGATTTTCTTTTCTTTTGTTTCTTTTTTTGGGGTGGGTCATTTTAAACATGCATTCTTATTTTAATAAAAAAAAGTTATAAAGAAGAAATTTAGCAAAATCTCCATTTACTCTTACAAGTACATTAAATTGAGTACATAAAAATTAGAGCATATTAAAATCATAACAATCTTTTTATGTGGAGGCCAGGCAAGTTACTACTTTTCTTTATTAAATACATTATTGATTTCCTTTTTCTCTTTTAAAAGTAGTGTCAAAAAAGTAAGTCTGAATAACAAAGGTTTTTAGAGTGAGTATAAATAAACTGTATTTTAAGAGATCTTCTTAAGAAATCCCTTGAACTAAGTATGTGGACCTAAATCCCAAAAGCTCACATCTGTAATCCCAGCACTTGGGAGGCTGAGGCAGGAGAATTGGTGTGAGTTTGAGGCTATCTTATGGTACCTAATGAGTTCCAGGCCTGCCTGAACTACACAATAAGACCCTGTCTCAAAAAAAAAAAAATCAAAAAGTCTTCTTTAATGTCAGAAACAGATACAAGTAGTTTTAATACAAATAGTACCCACCACCTGAGGTCCTTTATTTTCAGCCCAGTCAAAGCACACCCTCTGTTTTTCTTTCTCTCTTCCATTGACTCCTATGCACAAGGGGTTCCACTGCCAAAGGGGATGCTTTGGAGGCTCGTGGAGCTGCCTGTGGTTGTCAGAGACCAGGGGTAGCGGTTATAGCAGGCAGAGCCAGGATTGGCCCAAGGAGTCTTTCTCTCGCTTGCGTCCCTCGTGTAGGTGGAAATCCTCTTCATGAAGATGATGGAACTAGAGCTCTATTGTGCAATCACATACACCCTTTAAAAAAAAAAAACATTCCTGGTCTTAAATACACTCTGAAAATTTTTAAAAGTGCATCCACCACCAAGTATACTGAGGCAAGATTGTTGTACGATGTGGTTAAGAAATGTAGTGAGAGTTACCTGTCTTTTTGGGAAATCGTTCCGTGTATGATAATGCTGTCTGTGGCAGTGAAGTCTTCCAGGAGCTCACACCTGCTCCAGGGAACGCTGTTACCACCACCTTCACAGTAATTCTGTGTGCAGGTGTTAGTTGTGCACAACTTCACTGTGGTTCTAATATAGAACAATATGCAAATTTATATAAGGAAATATTAATTATTACAACTTTTACATTCTGCTTTATTGTATAATTTATTCTATAAATTACAATTTAATAAATATGTCCATTTATTTGAGAAAAATGCTCTCAGGCGATGGTCTGTTCCCCTTGGTCTTTGCAGCACTTGCACACACTAATTTTAGATTTTTATAGTAGTTATTCAGAGTTGTGCTGTTAAAGGGATAAGTGAATTATGACCTTCTCAGAGCTGAGGTCCAGAGGGAAGTTTGACTATTGACTGGCAAAATAAAATAGTGGAGATTTATTTCTCTTGTTCTCAATACAATTACCTATGAAATCTCCCTAAACTAAAGAAATTAAATTATTTATGAAGAGAAAGTGGAACAGTTAGATTCATTTTTTTCCTATATTCTAAAAACCCTCCACAATGCAAGCCTGACTATTATGAAATTTTGCATAAATGATGTGTGGCATCCTAGTCTAGAATAAATTAGAGAACCTGGTAATACTTTAACCTCAAAACTCTTGCATTTCATTCCTTCATGACTTTCCTTCCTTTCAAAGCTTTATTTAGACATGCACCAAATTTGATCAATTCTGAGTCTAACCTTCAGAGGCAAAAACGGTGTTTCAATATTTTTATGCAACTAATGGCACTTCCGGATGGGAATTGGGTGTACTTGGTGCTCTCATAGGTTCTCACAACCTGACACTAGGTGAAATCTGAGTTCATCCTGACGTCTCTTGCCACCTACCTGGCCTCTCCACCCCATTCTGATGCCATGGGCTGTCTATGTACAAAGTGAATTTGTATCCCTATTTTCTATCAGCAGCTCTTCCATTCAGATAAACTACTCTAAACCCTTGCTCTGCATTTGGAAGACACCAAAATTACTACCACAATAAAAATAGCTACTATTTCTCAAATACTCACAATGTATGGGGATTGCAGAGTGCTTTAGGAAGACTGCCTCATTTTGTTCTTTTAACCTATGAGATAAGTGCTATTATTATCCCAACTTTACAGTGAGAAAAATGGATGCTGCTTTTGGTTTGAATTTTGGTCTGCTCCAAAATTCATGATGAGACTTAATTGCACCTGTGGTGGTATTAAGAGACAGAGCCTTTTGGGAAAGTGACTAAGTCGTATAGTCTTTGCCTTCATGGATAAATGATTGCCCTACAAAAGAGCTGAAGGAAACTGGTGTGGGCCCTCCTTGTATTTCTGCCTTCCGCCATATGAGGATGTAACAAGAAGCCCCTCACCAGTCATGCAGCCTGCTAGTGCCTTGATTTTGGACTTCTACACCTCCAGAGCTGTGACAAATAAATTCCTATTATTTATAAATTACCCAATCAGTGGTGTTTTGGTATAGAAGCCTGAATGGACTAACACAGACACTCAATGTATTTTTTAGTCTGTATCGCTCGCAGGGGTCACAGCATAGACATATTTGATTTCTGGGCCCTTTCCACTACCCAACTTTCCTGTCTTTCATCTTCATATACTTGGATTGCTGAGTCATTTTTCCTGAGTCATTGCTCCTGGAATCTCAGTACGTAGGAATCACTGCAGTCTAGCGATAAATGGTCCATAGATCACAGACTCATCTAATCCAACCCCTGCCCGGAGTTAATGTATCTCACCTACCCGAAGATCTGTGGCAAGTTGAGTCTGATGTTTAAACGCCACCACAGTCTGATCCCATTCTAGCCACCCCATTTCAGCCTGTTTCATTTACCTATCTGATAGTCATTTAGTTGTCTCTTAGAGGGGCTGATCCTCCTACCCGCACACCTTGATTCTGTCTGTGCACATAGTACCACTTCCCTGTCCTGTGGAGACGGTTTTTCCTAACTGACTACCTTACCCCTCTTCATAATGCCTTCCTGGCATGTGATTGTAGTATGACTTGGTTTATAAATTTTCTTGAAAAGTCTTGTCACAGTAAGATTTCTGGGCCCCATAAATATTTGGTAATTTATTTTTTAAGGGTCTCTGCTCAGCTTGCATGTTGCAGTCTCCATTTTGTCAGGAAGATTCAAATTCCTTTCACCTGTTTTTTTCCACTGTGCCCCAGGCATGATCTCTGTTACAGTTCCTCTTACTTCTTCGTGCATTTGTCTCTGCTGGACTGGGCCCCTTGAAGTAGGAGCTATACCTCCTACCTCATTGTTATCTTCTTGGAAACAGAATTATTAAGGATTCCATAACTGTTTGTTTAGTGAATGAACAAAGACTGTGGAACAAACTCCAGTGGTGTTTTCTATGCCTTTTCTCTAAGTCTTGCAAAAAATAAAAAACACTATTAACGAGGAAACACCTACCCCAAACTCACCTTGTTGAAATGGTATGATATATTTAAAATGGTATGATAGATTTAATCTACTTTAAAAGCAACAATAATGTTGTGAAAGTAGAAGCTGGAAAGAAAACAGTATGTAATGTCCACTGGTCCATGCTAGGGGCAGAGAGGGCAGATGTAGAAGGAGAAATACTATATAATGAAGTTTAGCTGCAACACAAGGTTAATGTTTCCTCACCTTTGAAAGAGTACCGGGGGATCATTTATCATCATAACTGTTGAGGTCTAGGACTTCTCATCCAAATGACAATGCTTTCCATACAGGGCTGTTCCCCATGCTGGCCCTAGAAGCCAGCCTGTCCTGAATAGGTAAGACTTGTCCGGCTGTGTCTGTGAAAGTGGTGACATAATGCTTTTCACTCTCTTTCATTAAGGAAGACCCAGGCCATAGTGGCCCTGATTTTTGAGGCTGAACACTTGGAGAAGGAGCCCAGTTTTCCACTACATGGCTTGTTATTTTCAGTGAGATATTTACCTCTCCAGTTTTCTCTCTGTCCAGCAGATATCAGAGTATTTTCAACATACCAGAGTCTTAACTGCGCATTGCTGGCTTCCACTGCTTTTCTCCAATTAATGAGCACCTGTAGAAGAGCTTTACAACTGATATGGGGAGGAAAACCTCTGAGGGAGAGATGGGCTCCATCCCATATCCCTAAATCATTTACCATCCATCTTTTATTAGGTCACCATGGAAACATGCCTGAGGGGACATTGTGGGTAAATTAATAGCCTGTGATGAATTGGGGCTGGTCCCAAAAGTGCATGTAGTTTCTTATCTCCATGAGCAAAGACCAGATAAGCTCTTTTTAGGTTTTCTTTGCCACCGTAGTTGAGTCTAGAATTTACTGCTGAGAAACTTGTTTCTTAGACCTTTCTTCCTAGACTAACACACAAAATCTTGGCCTTCTAGTTTGGACTTCTTCAACTTATATAAGAAGCATAGCAACGAAAAGGCTTAGGGTAGCTTTAGCCTAAACTATGCCTTTTATTTTTGATGACTAGGTTTTTCAAAGGACTTCCCTAAAGAAAAGTGACTACAGACCGTTCTCACCACCCCCATGAACTTGAGAAGGATTGAAAGTACCCATAGGAAGCTTACCAAAAGGAAGAGGAAAGAGATTTACCTCTTTCTTTTTGCCTTCCCCAGTCCCCATGTATTGTGAGACCTTAATGTATTCTTAACTTTTTCCTTGTGGGTGGAGTATGTGTGTGTGTTCTCATGCATTTATAAATTCACTTCACGAAGAGATCTTGGGCTCAGAAATTCCTTCCAACTGTCCATTTTCAAAGAAAGTGAATAAATTTGTAGTCCCAAATCTTCCCATTTGGGAACAAACACGTGAACATAAAAAGTGTCTGATTAGGATTAGAACGGTGGGATGAGCTAGAGAGGTCCCTATTCACTGTCCTTTTTACCTAGTGATTTTTGATGTACCAGCTAATGAAGTGCGTATATTTTACAGTAAAATGTTTGGGGGTAGTTACATGATAAGATTATTCTTTTCCCTTCCTCCCTGCCCTAATTTTGGCTGAGGGGAACAGTTGTCTTCCTTCTGGGCCCAGCAGCTAAGGTGAGGCATTGTTCTCCACTTGGGGGCACTGTGCACATGTGTCCTTGAGGTAGAGCCCAGAGTCCCCCCAGACTGCTCCAGCTGTTCAGGCTTGAAGTCATTCCAGTGTACCATCCTGGCTTTGCGCAGTGATGCCTTCCTCCTGATGGCACTGAAATTTTAATTAGTGGGTAATGTGCATTCCTGTATAATGGAGCGTACACGTGGCAGGAAGTGAGGAGGACACATTGGCAGTCCCATTTTCATTGTCAGCCCGCTGTGTGCTTCTGGATAAATTGCTTTATTTTACAGTTCTTGACTAAGTAGAGTGGGAAGTAATCTCTGATCTACTTAGCTCTGGAGTGTGGTGGAAATTTCATGTAAAATTAGACGTGCAAGCGCATGGGGACTTGAAATAATGGACAAATGCAAATCAGAATGTTTGCTGAAGTCCACTACCTTTTCTAATGTGCAGACTGCCCCTGTCCTGTCCAGTCTTTTTCACTTTTTGATCCATTTTCTGTGCTATAAGCTTCATGGTTTTCCTCCATCCAAATCAATTCACATCAAACCACAGTTTAAAATCCTAAACATTTCCTCCTTTCCCATAGAATAATATCCGCAGCTCCTTAATATCCGTGGCTAACAGATGTCTTCACAATATGTGCCTTTGTCTCTGGGCAGTGCCATCCCTCCAATACATTAATGCCTTGACTGTCAAAGCCTCTGTCTTGCTTTTCAGCTCCTGTCCCGGAGGTTCTCCCTGGTAACTGACTCGCCTTCCAGACTTCGGCCGGGAGTCACTTTTGACTTCAGTGGAACTGCGGGGTCCTCTTTTAGGAGCCCCACATCAGTGCTCCTACAACTCCTGTACTGCCCCAGATAATGTTTTATCTCATTGTTTCCCCTCCAGAAAACACAGTCATCCTACAAATAACTCGATATTGTAACACTGCCAGCTAGCACAATCTCTAGCTTATAAAAAGTTCCCAAGAAATATTTATTCAACGCCAGTGAGATAGTGTGTTTTCCTAGGGCTGCCATAAAAACTACAAAAGCCTGTTGTCTTAAAACAACAGAAATTTATTTGCTAATAATTTTAGAAGCTAAAAGTCTGAAATCACAGTGTCAGCAGGGCTGTGCTCCCTCTGAGACTCGGCAGAACCCTTTCTTGTCTCTCCTCGGCTTCTACTGGTGGTGATCAGTCAGTCCTTAGCACCTCATGGTTTATAGCTGCTGTCACTGTCTTTACTCGCTCTTGTCACATGCTACTTGCTCTGTTTTCTCATATCCTTTTCCATCTTCTATTAAGGGCATCGATTAGGGAAATAGAGCCCAATGTGGAGACTTCATCTTCACTTGATTATCCAAAGACTTGATTTTCAGGTAAGGCTACATTAATAGGTACCAAAGATTAGTTCAAGATTTTTCTGAGGCAAGGTACAATTCAGCCTATAATAGACTGATAAAACAAATAATATGTTAGAGAAAAAGCTCCCCCTTTACACACATTGATGTGTATCTATGTGCATATGTACACATATTTCATATTGTGAAATTAAGGCTAATTACCCAAAAGAAAATACTATTGGTCACGTCTAAGACACTTTAAAGACATCTGCCTCTTTCAGATGTAAATTTTTAAATGACAAATACTTCTTAGCCAACTTTCAGAATATTGTTAGGATAATCTATCACCAAATAAACTCTGTGCTTCCATCATTTAAAATTTAAGAAGTCCAAGGTTAATAGTAGTCTTGGCTATCTTTGAATGCCAGCTTCTAAAATCATAATTTATTCATATTTCCAAATTAAGAGGACATCTGTGCTAGATATTCTCTTTTTTTGTCACTTTCTCTTTCTTCAGGCTTGTCAACTGGCTTTTAATATACTTTTTTCCAAATGACTTCTGTATATAGTCAGTCTTTTCCCTAGGCCCCAGATTACAAAAAGTAATGTTAGATTTTTAACAAGCAACTGATCTAGCAAATTATGCCTTAATTTGTAGCATTTAGCAGAGCTGAACGCAAGTAGGAAAAAAATCTCACAAAAGATTTCAGTTAAAGTAGTTTTTAGTGATTAACATTGTGTAAAAGCCATTGAGATAGACATTTCTTTTTGTTTTAATTAAAAACATTGAAAATAGTGCATTTGGTAAACTATTAAGTAAATTACTGCCATTCTCTAAAGTTCATTGTAATTAGTGGTAATATTGGATTCAGCATTTGGCTCCAGGTACTAAAGCCAAAAACCCACGTTGTTTGCCTTCGTTAAGCTTAGAGACACTGAGCAACTCCCACAAGAAAGCAGGAATGAATATCTTCAAGACTGGTATGAGCAGGACTCTGCACTATGAACTGACTTTGCTGAAACAGGAATTTTAGAGAATGTGAATCTAGACCCGGGCTTTCTAGTTTAGTAACTAACTGGTGCAATTTTTCAAATCTTATTCCTTTGGGTTCTTTTACTTAGTTTCACATTAATTTAGCCAAATTCCAGTCTTAATCTTATCCCACTTTTCCTAAATATTTGTGGCTGAATATGCTTTCAGTTCTAGGAATGGAAAAGATATTAAATGAGGGAAAGATGGGTTTTGAAACATGTGATTTAGGTTACTGCATTGCTTCAAGGCAATTTGCAGATTGCAGTCATATTTTCAAAGCCTAAACTGGAGTTCTTTAGCATTTACTATTGTGGATGCATGTGTGTGTAAACACACTGCCATATGGCAGAAGGCAGACCTGCTCACACTGCTATAACAAAGAAATTAATTAGAAAAATAACTGAACTCTCTACAAGGTACTAAGAATACCTTAATTTCTAGATGTACTTGTTAGAAATCGCAGCCTCCCTAAAACCATTGGGTCCTACGAATATACACACTAGGCATAGTTCTCAGCTATGAAATGTTTGCATGCTGAAAAATGAAACGTGCTAATGAAAAGGTAGTGGTATTCTCATTTGCAAAGGCATGAATATAGAAATCTTTAAACAACTGGAAATGGTGGCTAAAATAGAAAGTCTTCATTTTTCTCTATTCAGGCTGTACTCAAGCAAAAGCTTGAGACTGCGGGGCAGAATATTGCCATTTTTTTTTTTAATGTACATGCTGAGTAAAGTAACCCTAAAGTCTAATGCCCAGTTACCTCTCGCGGCTAATAAGAAGAAAGAAGTGTCAGGAAAGAAGCCTCAATTCTGTTGAACCTCTTTGTCTCATTCA